TTTCCTAATAAATTGGGATTTGGACCTTTTCTTTCACATCACCATTCTAAACTTTTTATCAAATTAAATAAATAAAATCTTAAAACTCAAAAACTCGCATTAAATATAAATTTATCGATAAATTTAAACTTTTTAATTAAATAAATAAAATAAAAAAATTCAAATTAAATTTATCGATTTAAGTTTTTACCCAGAAACTCAAATTGAATATAAATTTACCGATGTGTTTAGTTTTTAATTAAGTAATCAAAATCCAAAAATTGAAATAGAATTTATAGAATATTTTGTTCTAATTAAGCAAACATAGTCTAGAAACTCAAATTGAATATAAATGCATGGATATATTTAATTTTGTAAAATAGAACGAAAAATAACAAAATAGTTAATAAAAAAAAGATCGAAAATGGAATTAAGATACGAAACTCAAATTATATATAAATGTATGACATGTTTAGTTGGGGAAATAAAATTTAAAAATTAATAAAATATATAAATGGAATATTTTATGGATATTATTTGAAGAGGATATTCTATTGAGATTAGAGGCCTATCAATTTCTTCAAGCAATATCCTCCTTTCGCTCAATCCGTACGGCCTGACCGGGGGTCCCCAGGCTTCCCATCTCCGGCGGGCACCACCCCTTGAGGCGTACGGGTGAAGAAGGAAAAACCCAACAAAACTCTTACACTGTTACACATGCATACGCTCTCTCTCTCTCTCTCTCGTTTTCATGGCTCTCTGTCAAAGACGTTTGTCCTTTCAAGCCCACTAAAGCAAAGCTCTGAAAATTAAGAAGGCACGAGGTCCACCAGCTTTGTTTTGTACCCACTTCTCACAACCATAGCCACCCAATTCTTGCCTTCTCCTTCACTCCCCTTTTATCTATATATCTCACCCTCTTCTTTTGCTTCACACCACCCATAAAGAAAATCAGGGAAAAACAGGTTCAAGCTTTATTCTCCTTCATTGCTGTTCTTCATAAGCAAAGCAATTGTGAGAGTGGTCTGCTGGAGAGAGGTGAGTCTTTGGTTGAAATAGTTTAAAGGGTTCTTTGGGTTTTTGGTTTAGGGGGTAACACCCAGGGTAGACAAATTGTGGACATCACGGCTATATACAAAGTTTCTCGGCCTCTTATTCATGTCCGAACTGTACGACGGAAGGGTTGTGTGATCGAGAGCAACCCTTCGCGGCACGGCGGGCGTGGAGCTTTGCCTTCTGAAGGCGGTAGTCCTTCCGATCTCCTCTTCCTTGCTGGTGGCGGTCTTGTCTTTTAAGAGTTTCATTAGTCTAGTATAGATAGCTTTTAGTCTATATATATAGAAAAAAAACAAAGAATCCTATCGAAGAAAGCTGTTTCAGATCGCTCGTAAGAAGAAGAATAAGAAGGCTGTTGTTTTCGTTCGTCTACGTTGTCGTTCTTTGTGGGTTATCTTTATTTGATTTGTATTGCATAAAGAAAGAAAAAAGAAGAAGTAGTAGCAAAGATGATGCTCAGGATTAAGAGGGTTCCCACTGTTCTTTCGAACTACCAAAAGGATGAGGCGGAACAGACTGCTCGCCGTAGCGGTGGGTGTGGAAAGAATTGCCTTAGAAGCTGTTGCATTCCAGGTATTTGTTGAATTTGCCCTGCTTAGATATAGTAAGTTTTGTGGTTTTTTATAAAAATGAGGTGTAACTTGAACTGGTTTTTGGTTTGCAGGAGCAAAGCTTCCTTTATACGCTTTCAAGATGGTGACTAATAGTGAGAGTGAAAAGGGTGTGCGTGGAATTGAGAGCAAAGAGCCTCCCGTTGCTTTTCTTGACTCACTCGTTCTTGGGGAGGTAAATTTTGATATCAAGCTTGTGGTTAATAAGATTAAAGATCATTGTTATGGTAATAATTGTTGTGTTTACAAGTTGTGAGGTTAAGAAATACTTTATGGTTTTATGGTAGTGGGAGGATCGCCTGCAAAAAGGGCTCTTTCGATATGATGTCACTGCCTGTGAAACCAAGGTCTGATTTTGGGCTCCTTTTCTATTCCCTTGCTTTACTTGTTAATCTGCAAATTGTGAAAACCAGAAATTTTATGGTTAATTGAGTTGTTGGTAACATCAAAACTTTCTGTGTTTATCTTGGTTTAGGTGATTCCTGGTGAATATGGCTTCATTGCCCAGCTGAATGAAGGGCGCCACCTTAAGAAGAGGCCAACTGAGTTCCGTGTTGATAAGGTCCTCCAGCCCTTTGACGGGAACAAATTCAACTTCACCAAAGTCGGGCAAGAAGAGGTGCTTTTCCAGTTTGAAGCTAGTGAAGATGGTGAAGTTCAGTTCTTTCCAAATGCTCCAATCGATGTTGAGAATTCTCCAAGTGTTGTTGCCATAAATGTACGTTAATTCTACTTCAAACTATAGAATAACTAGTTGAGCAAGACTGCTAGACTCATAAGATTAACATTGTTTATGAACAATTCAACAGGTTAGTCCTATTGAATATGGACATGTGCTGTTGATCCCTCGAATTCTCGAATGCTTGCCCCAGAGGATCGACCGTCAGAGCTTCTTGCTTGCACTTTATATGGCAGCTGAAGCTGGGAATCCATACTTCAGATTGGGTTACAACAGCTTGGGTGCATTTGCTACAATCAACCACCTGCACTTCCAGGTACCTGACTTCCCAGTTTGGTACTTGATCTACTTTGTACCATCATGACATCTGTTAGATATAGTTATGTACAATCGGGAAAGGGAAGGTGATTTAATTATCCAATGGCTGCAGGCTTACTACTTGGCTGTGCCCTTTCCCATTGAGAAAGCTCCCACCAGGAAGATAACCAGTTTGAGTGATGGAGTGATCATCTCAGAGCTTTTAAATTATCCAGTCAGAGGTCTAGTCTTTGAGGGTGGTAACACTATCCAGGACTTGTCTGACACAGTCTCTGATGCCTGCATTTGCCTTCAAGATAACAACATACCATACAATGTCCTCATCTCTGACTGTGGAAAGCGGATCTTTCTCCTTCCACAGGTAACAAACTAGAACCATGATTGACGCATTGTTATTGTATCCATGATGCTGCTAGTGCTTACACTTGAATTTACAATTTGTGAATTGAACAAACAGTGTTATGCTGAGAAACAAGCTCTTGGGGAAGTGAGTCCAGAGCTATTGGACACCCAGGTGAACCCAGCTGTGTGGGAAATTAGTGGTCATATGGTGTTAAAAAGGAGGAAGGACTACGACGAGGCATCTGATGAAAATGCTTGGAGGCTCCTTGCAGAGGTTTCTCTCTCTGAGGAGAGGTTCGGTGAGGTGAAGGCACTTATCTTTGAAGCCATTGCCATTGGCGAAACCATTGCTGAGACTCTGCTTGACGAGCCTGATAGTAAAACCCAACCTCTTGAAATAGAGAATGCTATCACCAAAAGCTCCCACCGCTCTATGGTGGCTGGGACGCATGAATGCCTTGTTCTGCAGTGAGAATCGGCATTCAGCAATAGCAACCCTGTTCCTTCCGGGTTCTGTTTCTATTATGTCAGTTTGGTATCTTGGCATGTGTTAGACCTTCTATGGATTATGGCACTGGTAGCCTAAATAAGCAAACTTAGTTTGCCATTGATGTAAGGATATTCAACTTTGTGTAAACTGCTATCTGCTTATTGGCTTCATGATGTACTTTATTGGATCATGTAAAATACAATGTAATATTTGCTGTTATGAGCTTATAAATGCATGTGATTGTGCTAGTAGTACTTTTCTGTTTGCTGCAGGGCTTTTGGGGAGATGGGTAGCTGGTTTTGTACTGCAAAGGACCCTACACTGCACATGTAAGTTCACAGACATGTAAGGACCCCAAACCAAAGTAGGATCATGATCTGATAAGAATGAACGTACCCCATATATATATTTTTATTTTTGCCCCCATTATTTTGGTAGAAATATCAGATGATAAAGGTGACACCTGAAGTATGATAATGGTAGGTTGGATCAATAATTTAAACAGAAATGTAGTTGATCAGAACCTACCTATTGTTATTATTCTTCATGTTACAAATGAAAGAAACAAGTAAGAAACACATTTATTATCACATTAAGTTCGGTAGTAGGTGGGGTCCAAATCATAGAAATATCTTATGAAACTGTTGCCATGTGGCTTTCATGGATCATGTGATTTCCAATGCCTACTTACCTAACATCAATTTTTAGTTCTTTTTTCAAAGCAAAAGCATGGGTTACAATTTGACATTATATGTTGATATATCATGATGGTAAGGTAATGTAATATTTTCATCCCTCCATATTAATGTCACATGAGTTAAAAAAGATATATTTTAATTAAAGATAACGTACTTAGATCCCTTAACTTTTAGTCATGATTCTGTGCAAATTTATTAATTTTTAAAATGAAAAAAAACATAAACACTATTAATAGAAACTAAAATACCTTTTCTTATTTTTTTTAATTTTTTTACTTAAACAATATGATTGGCTAGTGACGCTCCCCTTCGCCGACCAACCACCCCAAGTCGATGCTCCCTTGATTTTTTGTTTGTAAAAATAAAAAATTTATATTATAGTCATTTTTTAAATAATTAAAAAGTAAAATTATTCTTTTAATATTGTCATGTCATTAAATTAATAAAAATATTAACAATTGATTAATGGCTGAATCTATATGTTTAACGAAAAATTTTTTTTGGGATAAAGTATTTTGAAAACTAATGGACTCATATGAAATTTCGATTAAAACTAAAAAGAACATAAGTATTTTACCCTTTGAGTAATAATAATTAGTTTATCACTAATTATAAAATTTATTTGATTTAAAATAAAAATATAAAAATTTGATTGAATGCAATAAAAAAATTTATTTAAAATTTTTAAATAATTTAGGAGCTTTTTAAAGTATTATTTCATTTATTTTTTGCATTTATTTCTTCAATGGGCCATGGGCTTTTTATAAATAAAATTTTGGATTGGGCCTCTGTAAAATATATTTGGCCCTGCCGAAAAATATTTATTTACAATTTTGTGCGAAATCTCGTCTCTCCCCACGAAACATTATTGGCCTGCTTGCTCGTTCCTGTCTCGACTGCCACTCCCTTTTGCTCCGACGCCGCATTTCTGCTTCGCCGTTGTTGCCACCGTAGAGTTCACTCATCGCCGCACAGACCACCTAAGGTACGGTTCTTTCTTTTTCCCTTTTTTTTATCGTAATTTCTTGTTAATCCAATATGTTTTTCTTTGCTTTTGTTTTGTGTGAGACTTGCTTGAAAATTTAATTTTTCCCCTTTATTTTCATGTACCCAGATTCCCCAATTTGGATAATGAGATAAATAAGATAGCTTGAGAATCTGGGTTGTAAACTTCTTGCAGTGTTACGACTTAGGATACGATTTCGGTTAAGTTTTGTTTAGAAAAATGTTGGGTTTCTTTTTGCACCTTGAATGACATTGGACAATTATAAATCATAATCAGATTAACCTCTTTTCTGTGATTCCATCTAACTTCAGTGTATTTACCTTTGATTCTGAGTTAGAAGATCATTTTTTTTGGTTCTTCTAAATTTATTCATTATCAAAACGTTGCTCAATTAGATGTTTGCAATGAGAATTTTCAGTGTCGTTTTTGCCAAGTTCTTGTTGCCAAGGAGTCTAATCCTTTTTAATTTGGACATTGATTTTTTTTTTGTTAGTTTTCATAGTTCTACTCTAATAAGCTTGTTTTTGAATTGTAGTTTTGTGGAAAATGAAGAAAGGATTGCACCCTCAGATGCAATGGATATCTTACGTGACGCAGAGTGGTCGATTGATAAATGTTATGATGACAAAAATACATAGTGTTGGTAAAGTTTATCACTTGAGGGCGAAACGCCAAATGGCTGCAAGTGTAGGACAGATTGCTAAGTTTAACCGTCGTTATGGGCTGGAGAAGCCAGAGAACACAGAGAACAATGAGAAATGAACTAAGGATGCCAAGGAAGATTGGGTAGCTGTGGTTGGATTTAAATATCTATGTTGTGGAATAAACGTGTGTCATTGGTGAAATGAAGTGAATTTGTTTTGCATTTTACAAATGGTTGAATTTTAGAACATGTCTGTTTTGATAAAATAGTGGTTACAAAGGTGTTTGAGAGTTTCCACCATTCTTTTGAGGTTTTGCGGCTATAACATATCATCCACCGGTTCTTATTCTCAGATATCCTTTCCTCATTTTCAATGATGCATGCTTAGCATTTTATATATTAATTGAAACTTGAAGGTTAATGTAGTTGATTATTATCCAGTCGTAGATTTCCGTGAATTGATTTATCAGCGTTGATGACTTGTGAGGACTTGATGCCAGTAAGGGAATAGCTGCTATCATGGTACATTGGGTCTGTGGTTGATTAACTTCTTCATCCTTGTTTCATGTTTCAGACGAGTTGAGTTTTTAATTCCTCTCTTTGCCCTGATAATGTCTTGTAATATGCATTTTGCTACTATCAGTTTAGTGTCTGCTGTCTTGAATGTACCTGAAATCTTTCAGATGGTTTACAAGTTTGTTAAGTTGAACTTTGCTAATGCATGTGATCTGGTTTATGATTGAAAGTTGAAACTACCTGCTGATCAATTACTGGTTTGTACTTGTAGTGCATACTCCTCTGTTTTGGAAAAATCATTTTACATTCACTAAAAGAGCCTGACATTCTAAAAGCAAAGGGCATCTAAAACCTAATCGGAGCAAGGCCTTCCGCTGACCAATCGTTCGTAGTTTAGCAAACATGAACACCCAAGGCCCTTAAACTTCAGCAAAACAGAACTGCTTTTTACATTCTTTTTGTACCCTTGTTTTTTTTGGTTTTCTGCATCATGAAATGAACTGATTAGCTAATGGTTTGATCTGTACATTGCTGCTAGTTCCTCTGTTAGTAATTGTGACGGAGGGAGCCAATAACATAGCCAAAGGGTAGGCACAAAGGGCAACTGCTGGCTCATCATCATCTTCCTCACCCTTGCGACCGGATGCAGGTTTAGGGTATGGATATGCAGACAGGGACAACATCCAACCAAGAGCTCGAACGTGGGCAACTGCTGGCTCATCATCATCTTCCTCGCCATCATGACCAACTAGATGCAGGTTTAGGGTATGGACATGCAGAAAGGGACAACATCCAACTAAGACCTCGAACGTGGTGCTGTAGGAACCATTGTGTTGATGTTGCCTCTGATGTTAACCACCATGGTTTATGTGGGATTAGATGACATCTTTACCTGGCAGTGCTGTTGGGGATTCTGTATCAGTACAAACATTAGTCCGCTTAACTGTGGCAGATTCAGAAATAGATTTCCTTGGGGGAGCCTGTGCTTCTAATTCGATGGCATGTCTGCATTTGCACAACCTTTGCCACCATTGCCTTTTCCATTACCTCCTCGGCCACCACCATTGCCTTCCTCTCCTAGACTGCCCAGTCACCACCCTCAGCTTCTATCGAAGAGCAGCCTGGAAGTATTGCCTAGTCACTGGCTTTAGCGTCCATCGAAGGGCAACCTCAAAGAATTTGATTCAGTAATAGATGTTTGATTATTTTATTCAAAGAACAGAATCTGAATCTCTTTCTTCAAATAAAAAATATACAAAAATAAATTAGCAAAAGAAGGTGAGAAATAAATTAGAAAAGAGGGTGAGAAATAATGATCAACATAATCTCAACCGTCGGATCATTTGAACTGACCTCACACTGCAACTCTTAACTTACACCCGGACACAGACGACAAACTCTCTTTAAGTACATATTTTCCGCCAAAAATCCGGGGATAGTTTTAGGACCCTTGACAAAACACAAACTCGTCCCTGAGTTTTCACTCATCCCAAAGATCCCATTTCATCTCCCGTTCACTTTCATCACTTTTCACTATTTAATATCTCGAAAGGCAACAACAAAAAGAAAAAACCCTTTCTTTCTCTCCTTTTTCCCAGCATCCAAACATCCAACTTTTTCTTTCTTTCTCAATTCCTGGAAAATTTCCCAGGTATCTTTCTTCTCAATCTTGTTTGTTTCTCTTTCTCTTTAGAAGTTCTGTGACGTTTACTTGTTTTTATGTTATTGGGTACTTTTTGTTTGTTTGGTTGGTGAAGTGGGAAAAAAATGGAAATTTTGAAGTGGACATTGAACTGAGAGTCAGTGGTACTGTAAATTTACTTTTGTTTTTTTATGTTTGATTTATATGTTACTTTCTTTTCTTCGTTGTTATGTGAATTTCGATTACTGGGGGTATTTCTTTTGATGACTGGTTAAAAGAAAAGTTGTGATATTCATAAGCTTGCTATGGAAAAAATCATGGTCTGTGTTACTAAGCTAATAAACATGGTGGGTTTTGATTGTTTCGTGGTGGTTGGTTTTGATTATTCAAAGGTGTTAATCTTGATTCAGCATAATGAGATTGTTGGTTTTTTAGTAAACCCAATGAACTCTCATTTGCATAATTCATGCTTTTTGATTCATAAAACTTTTTTTCTTCTTTTCAGTTGAAATTATTGTGAAGTTATGTTGTTATTTGATCAGAGATAGGTTTAACTATTGGTATACTTTGTTTCAGGGACTCTGAAGCTGCTTTAATTCAAGTAGAATGGCTTCTTCATCATCGTTTTCTACATGCACTCTGAATAGGGGCTCGTTTGCTACAAAAGCAATAAATTTCAAAGTGTTCAAGTGCAATTTCTCAAGTCTCCTTAATAGACTCCCTGTTAGTGCTAAGTTATCTGCTGACTTTACCTGTTCAAGATTGTTAACCAGTGACAAATCTCTGAAATTGGATCAAAGCCAAAGGCTTTCAAGGAATGGGGTGCAGTGCTGTGCGTTGGAAGTCGAGGATGTACCTACATTTACGATGGGGAAGAAGTTTCAACTTGATGATGTGATTGAAGCTCAACAATTTGATAGAAATATTCTAAATGCTATATTTGAAGTTGCACGTGAGATGGAGAATATTGAGAAGAAATCGCCTGGAAGTCAAATTCTCAAAGGTTACCTGATGGCCACCCTTTTCTATGAGCCCTCAACTAGAACTAGACTTTCATTTGAGTCTGCCATGAAGCGGCTAGGTGGTGAAGTTCTGACAACTGAAAATGCACGAGAGTTTTCGTCAGCAGCAAAAGGAGAGACACTTGAAGGCAATTTTCTTTACCTTTTAGTTATGATTCTTAAAAGTGGTTCCTTTCTGGCGCTTTTTTAATCAAGTAGCTTGATTTGCAGATACTATAAGAACGATTGAAGGGTACTCTGATATAATTGTGATGCGACACTTTGAAAGCGGTGCTGCTAGAAGAGCAGCAGCTACTGCAGGCATTCCTATTATCAATGCTGGTGATGGTCCTGGACAACATCCCACCCAGGTGTGTTCAGAGGTTTTGTTTAGTGTGGGAAACCTGTAATTTTATTATTTCACAAGATTTCCTTTAAATCCTTCATACAGTGGTAAAACATATTATGGCTGGGAAAGAATAGAGTACTGCAAAAGCAAATTTGTAGAAGAAAAACTAACAGTCCTTTAGTGTGTAACTTATGTGATTTTAGGATATTGTTTGTCTTGAGCATTATCTTTTTCAGGTACTTTTAAGTAAATTCTGTATTGGGCAATTTCGACTTTGTTCTTGCTTAATATAAATACACGATGTCCAAGCTATAGAAAAAATGAGCCATCACTCACTTCAACAATCCACCCTCTTTCATTCCCTCTCTTCTTGCATTTTGTGACCTCCGTTTGTGACATTAGTGATGTTCTGGTATACTTCTTTAGATGTGACAGGAGGATATCTTAATCCCCAACAAGTTTGATGCACTCTTAGGTTCAAGATTGTTTCTTTTTGATGTTGTGTAGGCCCTTTTAGATGTCTACACCATAGAAAGAGAGATAGGAAAACTGGATGGCATCAGAGTTGGGCTTGTAGGAGATCTTGCCAATGGAAGAACAGTTCGTTCTCTTGCCTACTTGCTGGCAAAGTACCAAGATGTGAAGATCTACTTTGTCTCCCCTGATGTTGTTAAAATGAAGGTAAGTATTTGACCTATTTGACAAACTCTGCTTATGAGCAATGCATGACCTGTATTTATGCTTAAACTTCAAATGTAAAAGTTAGATTACCTTTCATTAGATCGCTGAATTAACCTGCTAGGTAGTGAATGGGAAGTCCCAATTACTTTCTCTCACTTGTAATTCCTGCTTTTTAAAGGATGACATTAAAGATTATTTGACATCAATGGGTGTGGAGTGGGAAGAAAGTGCTGACTTAATGGAAGTGGCCTCTAAGTGTGATGTGGTGTATCAAACTCGTATTCAACGAGAACGGTTTGGAGAGAGAATTGATCTTTACGAAGAAGCTCGAGGTAAGTATATAGTGGACAAGGAAGTGCTAAAGGTGATGCAGAAGCATGCTGTGGTCATGCATCCTCTCCCAAGGCTCGATGAGATCACCGTGGATGTTGATGCAGATCCAAGGGCTGCCTATTTTAGACAGGCAAAGAATGGTCTTTACATCCGGATGGCCCTTTTAAAACTATTGCTTGTTGGGTGGTGAAGGAATTGTTCTTTGTTCCTTTCCAAATTTTGACATCTATTATCTCAGCTTGCTTGGTTCCTTTATGAATCTATGAACAACATTTGACAAGCAAAATGAAAAGTTTGGCTTGAATTTTCAAAGATGATTGGTATTTTTGTTAGTTTCCAATGTTAAGATCATAAAATGATTGACTTTGTTGTTGCCAAAGTTTGGGATTTTTTTGTTTGGATTAGCCTGGCTGGCATGAAAATCAGGTTGAATATAGGTTGCATCTTGCAATTTAAACCTAAAAATAACAAAAAAAAAAGTAAAAGAAAAATACCCATAAAATTTCAAATAAAATGTGAAAAAATAGGACAAAGTAATTCCTTGAAACCAGCCTTGTAGGGATTTCTCCAGTTGCTGGCAGAAAGGAGATGATGAGTCTTAATTTGAAGGTACAACGTTCAATTGAATTTAATGAAGTCATGTACAGTCACTGAAAATTTAAGAGATGATAACATAAACCAAACTCTAATAACTGGCAAAATTGGCACTCAAAATTTATGAGATAGGTAACAAAGGACCAAACGTGTCGCAGATATAACTTTGGTACTAATACATAGGGAAGTTGGGATCCACATCATGTGCCCAGGATTCCAAGCCCCCCACAATATCCTTCGCTAAATCGAAACCCATCTTGTGGAGGTATTGCACAGCCCTTTGTGAATCATTACCTCTTCTGCATATCACATACAGGTTAGCACCTGATACAGTGCCATCGCACTCTTGCTCTTCCTTCAGTGCAGATGAAACTTCAGGCAACCTAGCCTCCAAGCTCGCAAGCGGAATGTTTAACGACTTAGGCATAGAAACAATCCTGTAGTGGTGTTCTGGTCGCACATCAACCAGAACGTGCGCTTCTCCATTAATAATCCTCTCTTTGTACTCATTACTGGTTATTCTAGAGTCTGCCGCAAGCAGGTTCAGCTTCGGGGGAGACTGCACGGTAGGATCTTCAAAGTTATTAAATTGTACTAGCACCAAATACCATGCTTTGTTAAGTGACAAAAGTGTTTGGTATCATCCGCTAATTCAAATCATACATTTCGGGGCATACTCATCTCACTCAAATATTCATGCTTGGAATGAATTTTTATAGATAATTATAAAAATTTATGAAGCATGAAAGGCAAACTGAGATAACATAAGAAGAAAAGCCCAAAACTCAAAAATATGACAAATAAAATACAAACTACAGAGCAAAATTACCGTTGACAATGGAGATTGAGTGAACTTCTCATAATCAAAATCTCTAAAGTACTGTTGGTCGAATGTTGCATTTTCTCTGCAAACTTCACACTGCAATGACCTGCCTCTTATTTTGACCTAAGCAATAAGAATGCACTATCAGAAAAGAATATATATCCAGAATTAATATTGCAAAGTACATATGGCACCAAAAGAGGAATCAATGAGTGGATAATGGATCATACAATACGAATTCGAGCTGACAATGCATCGAACAGGAGCATCCGCCCTGAAAGCGGTTCACCAACAGCACTCGCTATTTTAATGGCTTCTAGCGCTTGAAGACAGCCAATAATTCCAGGAACTGAAAATATGTAGATCAATAAGCATGGGAACTGAAAACATGCAAATTAATGAGGTAAAAGCAGCAACTATCTCAAAATAGAAAAGAATAGAGCAGGTTTACTGCCAGGAATTAATTTGACAAAGATGAAGTTTCTTTGAATGTCCTTTTCATCATTTGCAGAGAGTAATGGACTAATAGTTTAGAGATGGATTGGAAAATCGAAATGATATCTTGACATACCCACTCCTAGGACTCCACTATCTGAGCATCTTTGACAAGCAGTTGTCGGAGGTGGAGTTGGAAATAGGCATCGATAGCAAGGACCTCCTTTGTAATTGTAAACTGTCAGCTACACAAGAAATCAACATAGTTTTGCTTTAAAGCTTGAGCAAAATAGATGTTTTAAACACAGTTAACAGATGCAAACTTATACACTATAAATTACGGAATATGATTTATAAAGCTTACCTGCCCTTCCAGTCCAAGTGCAGCACCTGAAACTAGAGACTGCATGTACACATGGAAGCAATTAATACTTGAGTCAGTGAGATTGCAGGGATAAAAAAGGAAATGCAGTACCATTATCAACTGAAAAAGCTTACTACTTGGAGATGCATATTAGCACTACAAATATTGAATGAATTAAGGACAAAGCACCCAAATCTTTACCTTTCCTAGCACAACGCAGCAATCACTGATCATGTAACGACTTGGAGCATTGTCGGTTGCATCTATTATTACGTCATATCTATGAAATGTACGCTGTCAGGGAAATCACCCCTCACATGAATGAATTAACCAACAATAAAAGGATGAAAAAAAATTGAAAGAATAACATTTCTATGTCATCAACAAGGATACTGGCTCAAAATTTCCAAAGCATTAGATGTGCGCAACGCTTCTTTGTGTTCAATAATCTGTATAGTGGAGTTGATCCTGGAATTCGATTCTATATTAGATAAAAGCAAGTACACTAAATCGCAGAAGAAATTACAAGAGACTACAAGTAACAAGCTTTATTCAACACTGCAACTTAATATTTAAGCTATTGTAACAGAACTGGATCCCGTATTTGTAACATACGTGCGACAAGCAGCAGCAGCAGACTTCACTTTCGGCTGACCTATATATGCTTCAGTGTGAATAACCTGAAGTGCAGCAAATAAAAGATAATAAAAAAAAGGGAGTTGCAAAATATTCACAGTCACAGTTCAAGACCACAGGGAAGAAAACTAAAGAGGCATGATACATCAGAGCAAAAACATCGATCAATCAAAACGAATGAAGCTCAAAGTTAATGGATCAATAAAACAAAGGGAGTACCTGCATACAATTTAGCCCTTTAACTTAGCATTACCATTCAATTTTAATAGATGAAAAAAAATTAGAACTATAAAGTTTGAGGATCTAGGAAAATAAGGGACAAAAAATCTGCGGCGTGTACATTGACATCGAATGATTCATGAGTACAACAAGATTAGTACTTAACCAGATGTTACTGATACGGAACAGTGCCTTTACGCCACAAATAATAACATGAGTAGCTACTTTCAACTGCAGAATCTACAACTTATACCTGCCTATGCATATTATTAAGCTCAACCACGTCGTGATCGACAATACCCAAGCGACCTAGAAAATCAAAGAAAACGAACAACGAATGAATCCCATTTCGATCACCCACCAAAAGAAGTATTGCAATATCGGGTATGCCCAAAAAAATGCAGCATCTTATTCTTACCAACACCACAAGCTGCAAGATATAACAGAGCCGGCGAGCCCAACCCTCCAGCTCCAACAACCAATATCGAAGACTTCAAGAGATTTGATTGCGCTACAAACCACACCAAGAAACTAAATTAGTCAACAAATTAAAACAAAAAACAAAGAACAAAAATAACCCATAAATTTCTTCTCTTGCCCATAATGAAAAGCCAATTTCTTTTCAAATAACCTTCTTTGAATACAGTTTAGCATAAAAGCATTCACTTTAATCAATTTCTCATACAAATTTATTGACTTTCTTCACTTCAATCACTTAATTAGTCATAATCAATCAAAACTTTACATAATTAAGCAAAATTAACATAAAAATCTAAAAGAAAAAAAAGGGCGCGTAATTGTTTCTTCTTTTATTTACCTTCGACTCCAAAAGAAGGGAGCAAAAGATGGCGGCTGTAACGATAAACACTATCCGCCGACAGTCCGTTTGCCAGGTTAGCATCGACGGCGGAGATTGGAGGACAAGAACCATTGCAAACGTCCTCGTTTTGATGCTGCTGGAGCTGAGCTTCGAGGACAGCAATCTTGTGTTCTATGCTAGCTTTCGTGTCCTTTAAGGCTTCGATTTCACGTCGGATTCTTGCCACGTCATCGCCGTTTGGTTCCATCTTTCGAGCTCCGACGACCCAAAGAACAGACAGAATCAAAAAGAACAGGAGGAACCCTAAACTGGAAGCAGCTTAGTTCCACTTCAACTACATTTGACCGACCAAGGGTAGTTTTGTCAAATCAAAACTCGAGTTTGAGTTCTACTGAAAAAATAACATGCGGGCGGTTTCTCCTACACTCGGTTTAGCACATAGTCCTGGATCAAACTTCAGCCTAGCAACATTAACTTTTGCATGGCAGACCCCTATACCACCACATGCCATAGCTAAGCCCTGCATGAGGAGACACGTTCACTGCTTCAACCTTCTCTCTTTGGCCACCTCTTTCACTCTCTGTCCATGTTCATGTGGATACAACAACAAAGTACACATGCGGTTCTGCTAAATCCTCTGTAGTATTACTTCCATTATTTTCTCCCTGGGGGAAGTTTCGTAACCATGGGTAAGGGTAGCAATCTCTTTCTCCTTTTCCAAGCCTTCAACCACTGCACGTATCTGCAATTTCATCAAGGTGATGTATTGAACTTTCTCTCCTTTTTTCTTTTGCTTGATTTAGACCTAGCAATGTGCTTGATTTCATTTCTTTTTCATTTAGTACTGGAACTGATGGGCATGCAAGAGAATCAAATGGTTTATCTTGTTGTAAGAGTAGAACTTGAGAGATGAATCTGCTTTTTCTATATATAATGATAGAGATGACAGTTTCTGTCATGGGGAATTCACGGCAGTATAATCTGATCTTAGTGACATATATATCTCAATGACAAGATATATGTCTATTTGTATGTATGAGCCTTGGATTATGTTGTTTGAGCCTTTAGCATATGGCAAACTCTCCTTTGCTTTCGCATCATCAGCTGGAATCATTTGCCCATAGCTGGGGTTGGTTCCCTGTCAGAATTACCAACTGCTTTACCTTGTTAACTATTAAATTAAGTGCCATATGGCCTATGGGCTAACTTTATTATCCAAACTCGTCGAAAGCCCAAACTCTGTTACAGGTTAAAGTTATTCGTCTTAAACTTAAACCTATGTATCTAATTCTTGAAGTAATTAGGACAGATAGGCCTAGGATACTTAGTGAATACCCATTGTCATTCCTATTGTGAGCTCATATTTAGATGCTATAACATCTTGTTAATGTTTTGTTTATGCACCATATGCCATATGCCATATCTAATTAAGTGCCGTATT